AAAGTAGCCATATGATAGGTACACATTTAGGAATGGTGCAAAATTGATAAGGTATATAGACTAGTGCTCTGATCACAAAAATGTTTAAGCAATGCTTAGAAGGCAGATGAAAATCAAGATAGCTTTGTCTGAGTAGAGGTAAGTACCTATTGAAAATATGTTTTCAGTGTAAAAAAAATGTTATATTCTGCTCCTGGATAGCATATTCTATTTTTTTATTCCTATTTATCCCACAGACTATCTTTTCCAGATGTCATACTAAATAATCTCTTATAATCTTTCCCAGACTTGCATCTGTTTGAAACCCTTCACAACTCAGAAGTTAATCTCTGATCTCCTTCTACTCATATGTATGGGTTTCCATGTCTGTGGTGAGTGTAGCACAGGTGGCACTTTTTTTTTTTTTTATTGTCAACTACAATCCTACAACCACAACATTTCACTGCTTCTGTTCCAGTGAGGTGCAGTTCTGGATGCTTGATCCATTTTTCACATCTGTTCTCCAGGGACAAGGTTTCTCTCTCTCTCTCTCTATGTCCTCAAGCTGTTGGATACTCAGCAGGCTTGCCATCGTCTTCGGGCTTGTCTGTTTAGTCTTTTTTATCATGATCCATTCAAATACTTCCTCTGTTGTTTTTCCATTCTCCCAAGAGGGAGGAACTTACTCCTGGGATTTTTACTTTCCTAGTTCTGGACTTTCTTGTGACCACCATGTTCAGTGGTCAGTCTATCATGTCTCAAAAGCTGAGGCTTTTGAGGTGGATTGACTGTCTCACTTAGATTTTGGCCATTCCCACAGGTTGGTTTCTCTTTCCCCTGAAATTTTCAGTAGATTTGCTCTCACTGTGGGCATCCTATCATCACTGCCTCTCCACCTTCCCTCCATTCCTTGTTTCCAAAATGTGGTATCCAATTCTAGATACTACAGCTTTAGTTGAGTTTAATCTGTGTCTGGTGTGGTTCAACTTCCTTTTATATGCTTCAGACATATTTCTTCCTCTTCTTACTTGTGGGAGCTGTCACTCACCTTTGTGTTTACCTCTTTCTGCACTAATTACTACAGGGACTGATTCATGTTCTTTTCTGTCTGCCCTGATATCACAGGCCTACAAATTTAAACTTCATAAAAGTTGTTTTGGTTTTAATAATGGATTCTTCATAATCCAACTACATAGATTTTTGGAAATAATATTCTTTTTTTTTCTATCATGTAAGGATTTTTTACAAATAGGGAAGAAAAAAACTCATTTAGATCAAGTTATTATTTCATTTACCACAATGATCATTTTTTATTATTATGTTAAAAAAATACAAACAAACTGAACAAAAGGGAAGAAAATTGATGTCAAACAAATATGCATCCTCATTCATCCTGATTTTTTTGGTTGAATCTGCATCAATTAGTCTCAAAACTATGTGTTGTGGTCTTTTATGTATTGCTACTGGAGCATCTTGTTTCAATGACCAGCAGTAATCAGCCATCATGCTGATGTTCCACCTTTCCTGATACTTCCTCTCCATTTCCCTGATGTCTTGATGAAACCTTTCCCCTTGTTCTTTGCTGATGACACTGAGATTTTCAGGTAAATAGTCAATATGTGAGTGTAAAAAATGAACTTTCAAGCTCATATTAGAACCCAACTCTTTGAATTTATTGAGCATGTTATTGACAATATTTTCATAATTTGAGTCCTTGTTGTTTCCTAAAAATTTGTCAGTAACATCTTTAAAAGCAATCCAAGCTTCTTTTTCAACTTTCCTAATTGACCTTTTGAACTGTTCATCCAAAGTCAATTTCCTAATCTGAGGTCCAACAAAAATCTGTTCTTTAAGTTTTGCTTCTGAAAGAGCTGGGAATTGCCCACATAGATACTTGAAATAGTTTCCATCTTTGTCTAAGGCCTTTACAAACTGCTTCATCAAGCCCAATTTTATGTGAAGTGTAGGTAATAGGACTTTCTTTGGGTCAGCCAAACTTTCATGTTCAATGTTTTTTTATCCTGGTATCAGGCTGACTCTGTATGTCCAATGCTGATTTTGTGCTCTGCTCTCCCATTCACACAAAAAACATGCATATATTTTACCATTGTGAAGGAGAACAACTTTTAGACTTCTTTTGGAGGAATCAATGAACAATTGTCACTTACTTGGTTCATAGACTGCAGCTCCTAGCATTGGTATTAATTCAGAAATATTGTTGCAATAAACCAGTGAATCTTGTTGCAAAAAATATGGTAAAAATTCTTTCTCATGATTTCTTTACCAGTAAAATGATGTCCCTGGAGAAAGTAAATTCTTAACCTGAAGTCTGGACCACAAAATCTCTGAAGAGTCCTTTGGAAGGCCCAAATCTCTCACTACATCATTAAGTTCACCTTGTGTAAAAAGTTGTGGTTCACCAGACATTTCAGGTTGAAAACGATCATTATCTTCATTTCTGTTGACATCAAATTCAGAATAAGATGAAACTGTATTAAGAGTTTCTGGTGGAGTAGGTACAGGTGCATTAGGTCCATGAGTAACAGGTTTTATAGCAGATTGAAGGTTCAGTTGTAGCCTTGCATGTTACATGAGCAAAAACAGCAGTCATCTCTTTGGTTTCTAGGCTCACGCCAGACTATTTGGAATTCCAAAAGGCAATTACTGTTTTTTATCTTTTGTCCATTGTATAAACTCTTTGACACAAATGTTGCAAATTTTGTGCGGAATCCATGATTTGTCTTAGTCCCCAAGATTTATTCAAAAATATGCGTAATATGCTTTTATGATGAATTCTGTAATGTTTTGTCTTTGTTTCTTTACAACAAATTTACCACAAATATAACAGAATATGTTTGGGTCATTTACACAACCTTTTGTTGCCATACCAAAGAAT